AGAATTACTAGTACTTAGTACAGTCTTACTTTTCTGAAAGTCCATCAAAACCCATGTCATCTTTATCAACTGTGATGTGGTACTAGACTATTTGGATTCTTAAATCATTCCCTTTCCATGACAAGACATCAATGAAAATTACCCAGTACCATTTCTGGTTTTTTACTTAATACATACTGGCAATTTCAGGACTCCATAGATCATGAAAGTCCAAGAAGCAGCGCAAACATGAAAACTTCTGTCCTGCAGACACAGCCAAAGTTACTGCATGTGAGCCATAAGCCTAATTCTATAATTCTACAGCATTTCTTTATTTCAAAGAAAATACTGTTGAGTTGGTACCAAGACATACACTCCTTTTATAGCTTCCTCTTCACGAGGGCAAGTTCCTGCAGTTGCTATTCCGTACCCTAAGGGTATGTGGAAGGAGTATCCGCTCCTTTGAGGTCATCTGGTCAACGGAGCTACAAAGACCTACAGAGTCAAACCTGACCCACATGTGGTAAGGGAGGCTGTGATGGGAACAAACCTGGTAGCACTAACTGGTAAGGATACATGCAATGTGAGATCCTAAGATCATCTGGCTAAGCACCTTGCCAAATTGTGATGATAAGGAATAGGAGGGAGAAATTCAGACATAAGACTGGACCAATCAGTATTAACAACAATAATAACCAGAAACAAACCCAGTCAATCACAGTAATTGATGGGCTATCAAGAAACTGGAGGCAGGGACTTTGCAACTCATAAGGATGCAAACCCGAGGGTGCCAGCTGCTGAGGGACTGTACATGGGACAGGATTCACAAAGAAACAAAAAAAAAGGGGGGGAGGGGAGGGGGCACCGACAGAAAGGGGTGTAAAAGGGGACAGTTGCATGTAAACTGATGTTGGTAAGCACAATGGCCCAACCAAGCCTGCTGCCTGATCACTGCAGTCTATGCTATTCTTTTACTAAACCCTTAACTCACTCTCTGCGTAATTCCAGTCTCTGTCCCATACACATGGATGCTGCAAGGATTAAGTGCAAGCTACTGGGAGGACTGGCATGACAGACTTGGTGCCAGCGAGTCCCCAGCTGGAGTCAGCGGTGCCCCAGGCCCATGGCATCAGCTTCCAAAGGGGGTGGGGCCTCAGTGCCAGTGACTGGGGCAGGGAGGGGTCTTGGCCACCAGCCACTGGGGTGGGAATAATGTGCATCCAAAAAAAAAAAAAGCAACTACACAGGTGAAGGGCTCAGCATAGGTGGCTGAAGCAGGATTGTGGGTCACAGGCCATGTGGTTGCTGACTGTTGGCAGGGACTAGAGTGTCTGTGCTTCCCCAAAGGGGGTGTGAGCATCTGTAACTTGCCAGCAAACTCCAAGCTGTACCAGCTGGTGAGTAGGAGGCTTTGGGTCCAAGCAGAGATGTGAGGTGGGCAGAGGGCCTGTGCTGGTATCTGGGTAGACGTGTAAGTGTGGGGTGCCTGTGCAACAAGTGTGTGAGTGTTTGCTGGACCACCTGCTGAGTAGGGGGACCCATGGGGCAGGTAAGGGGGCCTGGGATCAGAGCAGGTGGGCAGAGGGGCTGTGCTAGTACTTAGGGGATCCATAAACATGTGTGTGGTTTTGAACCTGGAGAGTATCATGCATGTGCTCTCTGGCAGCCCATGAGGAAGAGGGGACATGGCTGTCTGTGCTTGTGTTTATGTGAGACCCGCACTGTGGGTGCTGTTAGAAGGCAGTGCCTTGTCAGTGCCAGTTCATGTAATCAGCCGTATCAGTGTCCCATGTGTATCTGTCCATCCACATCACTCAGCCCAGGCAGAGATCCTGGGTCCTGCGATGTATTGGGCTGTGCTCTAGTGGCCAGACAGGAGGCTCCTCCAAATGTCCCTTAACATGTACTACTTAAGGAAACCAAGTCAGGAATGTTGGCATTAACAAGCTAGAACCCAGCCCAGTTCTACAATGATTTAAACTCAAGGGCCAAGATATAATTTTAATGGCCAGAAGAAATTAGAACGTCCTATAAAATAAACACTACCATTTTTACTCAAGCCTGGAAATTTAGAAATAGAATGCAACTACAGTGTCTGTCTTAGTTTGAAAGACAGGTGTCTGTGGA